AAATGGGGCTTGCACATCCTATTTATATGTGATTGTAATAATACAGGATTTGTAAGGGAGCTAGCACTGCAAGGAGTTACAAATTACTTGCCAAAATGTAATTAGTGTAGTTGCATTTTATTCCTTTAGTTGTCCACTATCATTCCATATTGCTATTACATATGTTGATATGTTGGTTGTGCCCCAATTGTAAATGTCAATACAATTGGGTGCTATATTCTGCAAAGTTTATATCTCTATCTCACTAGAGAATAGTTTTTTTATATAAAAACCTTATTTTAAACTTTGTGAGATATGGCAATAAGAGTTTATTGACCATAGAGTGGTGAGACCGACATTAACCTAGCATTAGTGTGAAAAAAAAAACCTAAATGAGTTAAAAGAAATGTATTTAGAACGAACTTTTAACTAGTGTCAAGGAAAGTAATTATGAGATATAGCTCATGGGGTGATGCCCAACTTAAGATTAGGTGTGATGCCCAATCTTTCGCGTTATAGTCTTAAAGAGCGGTGGTTACTTAATTAAGGTCCGATGAATATTCCCGGTGAATATCTCGGAACCCTCCCACCAATCTTATACTTACCTGGCTAGTTTAATTGTTACAAGTATAAATATAGAGAATCTTTAAACTATATCAAGTTTGATTACGGTAAAAGATTTATGAAATTGTCCGTAGCCCTCCATCATTTCAGTTGAATACTACTAAGCTTATAAATACTTTGTTTGTTGGCTATCGTCAAGACAATACTATTCTATGGCTAAGTAGTATTTATCTGTATATAAGATTTAAGAATAGCTTAAGTTGGTTATGCAACTTTGTTGGCCTTCGTCAAGAGTATGCATAAATTAAATTTAAGCCGGTCAAGAAATGATGGGTCCAAACTTAACTAGATTTTTATGATTTGTTGGCTATCGTCAAGATCATAAAAGATTAGGGGCAAAATCATATCAAGAATTACAAGAATGTAAAAGACAAAAATTGTCTACCAATTATTGAGTATATCGATTTGTTAGTCATCGTCAATGTTGATACATTCAATGATAATTGGATCTTGATCCCACTTGAAAACAATGGGTTATTTTCCGATCACCTCTTATAAAGGTTTTGAGGGACTCGAAAAATAGTGGGAGGCATAACTTAGATATAAAAAAAACGAACCAAATCTATTTTATGTATTGAATATCTGCTAAAATATTTTTTCTCGCTTTTTCAGGCCATCATGTCTGGCTTAAAACTCATACTAGAACAGAACAAGTTAACCGGTCCTAATTACAAAGACTGGTTGAAGAATGTTAAAATTGCCCTAACTTATGACAAAGTAGCATATGTCGTCACAACACCGGAACCCGTTCTAGGCACAGAACCCACTGTAGCGGACAATGAAATCCACATAAAGTGAGATAGAGATTGTTCACTTGCTCAATGCCTCACAATTGCCTCTATGGATTTGGTCCATCAGAGGCAACATGAGAATATGGATGTCAGATCCATATTTCGTAATGCAGAAGAACTGTATGACGAGCAACCACGACAAATGAAGTACGCGACGTCTAGGAATTTGTTCCAGACGAAAATGACTGTTGGATCTTCTGTTGGGGACCATGTCCTCAAAATGATCGCCTATGTCAATGAGCTTGAACTTTTGAACGCGGGCCTAGATGCAGATAGATATACAAATATCGTTCTGTTGGGTTCAATGAAATTTTTTTTTTTCATTCACCAAATTGAAAGTATTGAGTACATGTAAGGGATCAGAATGAATCTGAGAAACAAAAAATCATCAAATTATGTGAGAAAGGAAAAAAAAATAGACGGGATCAACCATTTAATCCTATGTTTGTTTTTTATCTGGTCTGAACTTTTTTCAAATAGGGACTACATAATCCCTTCAAAGGGGACTGACTGAAACTCATCCCTTCCCCACCTTTACAATCCGGATGCTAATCAAGAAATGGGATTGAGATTTTAGGACAGACTCGCCCCGATATTCTTCACTTTTTTGAGCTAAAATTTATCCGTGCAATTCCTTCTATCTTGCGCCCGTCTATTTTTTCAAACTCTAACACCAATCAAGCTTCGATAAGGGCTAATATTTCGCGCATCCGTGTGAATGTATTGGGTAGTCATGTGGGCTCACGACCACATGCCTGCTGACTTCTCTCTCAGTTCAATTTCTTGTTAGATGGAACGTAGATTGTTTTACGGACTTTAACCCCTAAAACAAGTTCATCACGCCTGTTCATCAAAGTCTATATTATGATGTTAGAAAGCAAATTACAAGGTGCTTGAATATGATATGAGTTCGGTCAGAGATGCGCAACTTAAGAAGTGCCGATCACATAATTCAATCTAAGAAGAATGAGGAGTCAATTTTTTTTCTTCCATGTATTGTAAAAATTTACTTTAAATTTTTTACCCAAGGTAAGTATGTGAATATCCACACATATGTGCATTTTTCTCTAAATAAATTCATTAGTTGAGGGCAAAACTGTCATTCTGTTTATGATACTAGTGTAAATGATCATGTTGTCCCCAAGACAAACACTAGTCTGGACTATATTAACTTAGCCTGAATGTTAATTAGTCCATGCAGAAATAAACATTGGATTAGACTAAAATAGTCTCATGATAACATTATCCCAGTAATATAATTCAGGAGTTATAATACACCCTATCCGGGGATAAAAAACAAACATCGCTCTAATTTTCTCCTTTGCCTTCTTTTATCACGACAGAAGAGAAATTTTTTCCCTCCAAATTTAGAATTCCCCCAACTGATTCCTCTCTAACTAATTGCAAGTTTCCTCTTTGAGTTTATTTCTTCATGATCTCATGCTTTGAACGACTAGAGGTGACTTCAAGAAATTTTGGACTGAAACTGAAGGGACACTGATTTGTGCCCTAACAGTAAGGTCAGTCTTGCAGGTAAAATACCTTTTTTTTTATTGCTTCTTGTTGTGGATTATTGTTTTATTTTAGATAAATATTATATATACAGCTAGGCCTTTTCAGTTTTTTTGGGATGCATTTTTATTGCACTCTTTGCGATTCTAAAGTGATATTTTTATCTTGGCAATTAGGTTGTTGAGGGGATTCAATCACTGAAGAAATGGATGGGGATGGCCTAGGTGGTCGTCTCTTCGAGTTTTTATAGGGTTGAGAGGGGAGAGACCCATTGAAATTGGGTTAGGCGAAGAAGAGAGTCGTTGGAGAAGAAGGATTTTTATTAGGGTTGGATTTTGTTACTGTTAACAGGCCAAAAGGGTCTAAATGGGTTTGCTTCTAAATAAGCCTAGGTTTATAAAGTTTGAACTCAATGTCGCAACGGGAAAGTCATTACTAAAAGTTAAATTTAAAGGAATATTCCTTTATATCTTAACCAAGGGGACCTAATTGTAAGCAATGTGATGATTTGAGGAACCTAATAGTAATTTCTATGATTTTGAGGACTAATTTGGAAATATTGAAGATACGATAGACTAATATAGAAATAAGTTTATAATATATCATTGTGTCAAAATAATCAAAAATAACATGGAGTTAGTGTTGAATTATTAAATGAGTCCTAAAATTTTGTGAAATCACGAGGGTTATGAGTGTCTTTTACTTGGTCAAGCAACTTTAACCCACCAAAAAATAAACTTGACTACCCCAAGCTAGTTTTTTTTTGGTGAATTATGATGCAAGTTAATCCACATGTGACACATCCTAAAGAGGCTTATAATCTATTTTTGTAGATTATAACCGAGTTTGACAATTTACCAGACATGGTCTTAATACCTTTCCAGAGCTCTAACTCATCATTAGCACATTTCTCATCAAAAGAACAAGATAACTTGTTGCCTTAACGCCTCCATTAAGCGTAAGGTTTTTGACCTGCCATTTAACGTGTTAAATGTTAACTTTTCAAGTATCTTCATGGTATCCAGGATTCCCGTCCAAATAACTATGAGTAGCGCGTACCAATTCTAACTTAAATTCTAACTTAAATTCTAGTCATTCTCTAGTCCAGTCCTGTCTAAATCCGGAATTAGTTCGAACCATAAAACAACATTCCTTTTGTCTTTTTTAATTAACAAAGGAAAGAAATGTGGAGGAAGCACAATGGTGGTGCAATGAGGGAGAAGATAGAAAAGATTTTTTTTAATAACTAATTCATATATATTTTTAATTTTTCTATACTATTACCGAATCTAACCCTCCTTATTTTCATCAGGTGACTGACTTGGAATATGCCAAACTCAGTTGTTCCTTGTAAGGTTCCATAATTGGGTCAAAATTTTATTTATTTTGAAAGGTTACATGAGTTCTATGCCTACTATTTTACTTTAAGAACTCGGCACTGTATATAAAAAGAAAATTCGCTAGCCAACTTATTTATATAAATAAATAGAAGAATACACAGCACTCAAAGGTTGATGCGTAAAAAGATTTATTCGGACAACTCATCTGCCTTTGCAACGTAGGCCCAATTGAAAGCCTGACCCGTGGGCCTATTAATAAATACTCGGCCTAATCTACACTCCCTATAACTCAACATAAAAGTAAGGCTTACTTTCACTTAATTACCCTATATTTCTGCTACTTTGCACTTATGCACCCTCATTTATTTTTACTAGCACCTATATATCCTAAAGTATTTAAAACTTGCAGCCATATACTCTCATTTTTGGCAACACTCATATACCTTAAAGTTTTAAAACCTACATTTAGATAATTGAAATTTTTTTAATTTGCACTGAAATTTCCTAGAAGTTAAATTTTGCACTTAGATACCCTAACTTGTGCAAGTTTTAAAGCTGTAAGATTTTTATGTACAAGTTTTAAAAACCCTAGGATATATAAACGCTACCAAAAATAAGTGAGGATATGTGAAAGTTTTAAAACTTTAGGGTATAAGTGCTGCCAAAAACAATTAAGGGTATATAAGTGTAACAAGGGGGAAACTCTAGGGTGATTAAGTACAATTAAGTCTAAAATGAAAGAAAGAGATAATTGGCCAACGATTCCCTCGATCTCAATAATTGAGAGTCCAAGAAACTCAATCGGTAGAAATGGAGAAGAACAAGAAAGAAACAATCAGTGGCTGGAGCGATCGAGTCGAAGATCTCGTGGACAACGGCGACGACGAAGGCGCCATTTCTTTACTCGAATCGGTCATCTCCAACCTCGAAACCCTAGGCTCCTCCTCCTCCTCCGGCGATCTCCGCCTCGCCTCCGCCCTCGGCGATCTCGCCGACCTACATAGCTCCCGAGGCTTCTCGATCAAGGCCGACGAGCTACGATCCCGCGCAATCCTCGCCCGTGCTCGTGCTGTTGCTCCCTCGGGTGTGGGATCACGGTGGGTTTTGAATTTCCAGGGTTAGGGTTTTGTTTTTTGTATGATCAGTTGGTGCTTGTTCTTGATCTTTTAGTTTGGTTCAGGGATCCCAAGCGAGAAGATGAAGAGATTGGGGCTTCAGAGAGTTCAAATGATCGACAAGAAGAGGTTGATGGTGCGTCTCTCTCTCCACAATAGCTCTATTTATCTCTGCAAGGTTATTTTAGCGCTTAATGTTTTCTTTTCCCCCCCGTATATTCTTGCTGTTTTCTTGAATGAGCAAGTGATTAAAGGTCTAATTTTGAGCTTTAATCAGACTGTTGAGTGAGTAACTAAGGTGTATGTTTACACTATAAATTTATAGCTTAATCCTCGTGATAGCTTTAGAGTTTTGGTGTAGTTGAGTGATCTTTGACAAGATATCATAGCAGGCTATGTCCAATTCCCACTGTCCTCAAATTTAAAGAGTATTTAAAAAGATACTGAGTCCAGATTTCGGCACATTAAAAGGTTGTCAACCTGTGGGGCATGTTAGACTATAAAATTATAACCCTCAAATGCTCGCAGCAACTTCGGGTTTTGGGTTTAATTTGGATTT